GTTATTTCTGACATTTCTTATATGTGTATTATATGGTTTATAAGACGTATATACTATCTGTCATCGCGGTGACAGGTTGTGTTCACTGACAACACGTTAAATAAAAATAACAATAGCGTGCGCGTAGCGCGCGTCTGTGTTGTGCTAGTTGATTTAAAAAGATATTGACAATCGCCAAGCACACTTGGCTGCTATCTGTAATGTTAGACAAAACTTTTCTACTTCGCTACATTGTAGTGCATACGATCAAATTTCTGCCGTCAAAAAGTTGCGGATGTGTTTCCACGTAAATGCACGTGTGTAATATATATGTAGATGTATTATATATATTTAAAGTTTATTAATCTCTTTCTTGGAAAACAGTTAGCTTAATTAATTATGACATATTACGTAGAAACGTATATAACAGTTCAAAGGTTACATAAAATTAACACTTGCGAACAGGTTGTTATCTTAATTAAGTCTACTGCATCGTAAGTTTTATAATACGCGCTAGAATAAAATGATATATCATCGAGTTTCAAATTCTTCTGGGAAATCCGTGATTATATATTTTATGCCGTCTGGCGGAAAATATCGCACAATGATCTGTTTATGAGAAACTCATTTCAACTCGCTATCACAACCATCGATCCGCAAAACACGTTTTCTCGGAAATTTCCGTTAGTTGATCTAGTAAAATGTTGTTACGTTATTATGTTATATTGTGCATCATCTCCAACCAAACTTCTTTAATTTTTTCTGCAAATCTTTTTCCACTTTTATTTCCACTACGCTGCAACAAAACTACATCGTTATATCTACGTCGAGTTAGATCGAGTGTTGTTCAGATAATTTGTTAAGTATATACAAGAGTCGGAAAATGGAGAAAAACGCGAAGAGAAATTCTGTTCTACAAAATAAAACAAAGTTTTAAAAAGCTTCCAAGATGCTGACATTCTCTTTTTGCTCTTTTGGAAGAAAATAGGTTTTTCAGGGTAATAACGAGATTATATAACAAGCATTTTACGGACACTTTTGCGTGGAAAGCTAATATCCTGCAACAAAAATTTACAATAGCTTTTAAAAAGCTCGACAATAAGACACACTTTCGGTGTTTTATCTTCGCAAATCGATACATAATTCACGATTTTTTTTCTGCCTTTGTTACACCCACGCTCGGCAAACTTGACGTTTGCCGAGCTATCTGATGACCCGGCACGGTAAACTACTGCCCTACTTGTATTGCTTGGGGTTATCAAATTTCGGAAATAAAAAGAACTCGTCCGAAGATAGACAGTAAATCACATCGAGCAGGCGTGTTGCGTCGACGTGCAAAACTTTTCTCTCGTTTTACACAAAAGATCGCTTTGAGATTCCAAAAAAAACAAAAAAAAAAAACGGGCAACTATGTGCGAGACAAACGGGAATATATTCTAGTGAGGGGTGTATCTGACAGCTAGAGAGAAACGTGGTACCTGCGCCTCCACCAAATCGTCTACACATCACACTCGAAAAACCAACCCAACAGATGTTATGTTCGATAGAGAAAATCCGTTGGGAAATAATATCATCTCGATCAAGACTCGAATCGCTTGCGTTCTCTAGGTCGCGTTCTCGATTACGCTACCGAGATGAAGGTAACGTAATAAAGTAAGTGTCCCGCAAGGTATATCACTGGCCGGATACTAGATTACTAAAGAAATAATTACAATCGAGTATTTATACACGCAGAGTTAAGAAAGTTAACATTTAAAAATTAATATCTCAAAAAAAATACTCAAACATTAAGAAAACATAAAGAACTGTTATAATATTTTTACATATCTAATAATTATTTCTTTAAATAACCGACTACATGTGGGTACACTTTAGGTCAGTGAGGGGGCATTCGCCTCATTCGTCGTGCAACCGAACCATTTCAAGTCAACATTTCATAGGTTGCTGACTTATTCGCGCAGATCATGCGTGACATACACGTACAACTCCGGAGAGATATGAATATTCTCACTCAGCAGATGCACGCCGCCACTCTGCTCGATGTCAGCGTCCGTGGCATCACACACATGCATCACCGAAGGCCAATGCAATAAAATAAATCCACCTGGATACGGTAAATAATAACATGTCCTTTCGTGCGGCCGGTATTATTAGAAAGCCCGCGTGCAAACTGGGAGATACGTATGTACGTGTGTATCTATTCGCGACGTCCCAATAAATTTACGTTCCGGCGCGCGAGAGCGCGTGTATCTAGAAACATGTCCCCGAGACGGTAGATTTATGACGTACAGTATACGCAATCACATCACGAGAGCGAGTGTTGCAAAAATGAGAGCATCACGCTCTTCCGAGCACATTCTCTCTCCTTTCAGGAAGAAAACATGCTGCTACCAACTGACCCGAAGCTCCCAGAGATATAATGAAAGCGAAGTTTTCTAATTACGTGCCTCGCGCGGGGATATATGTGTGTGTGGTTTAGGCAAGCTTCAAACTTTGGTTTGAAGGTGAAATGTTACACACACACACACACACACACACATACAGGCGTGTCTTGCAAATTAAAACTAAAGTTTTTTAATTGTTCAATTATCTAATAATACTGAAAAAATGAGCTTAATTTTCCTGATGAACTTGACGAGATGGAGAAATTAAGAAACCTTTTAGTCAAACTTTTCTATACGACGTATTTGTCTCATTTTTTTAAATTACTTATTAATTTATTTGTTTCACGTAATGAATTGCAAATAATAAGTCGGAGCTATATTATCTGAGAGAATTTATGCAAATTACTCAGCGGACAAAGGGATGCTGTGCGCGTTTAGGTAAATCTCAGTTGGGTCAAGGTCCTGGAGATCCTTCATCTCCGCCATCCCTTTTCGCCAAAAAACTCCACCTTGTGACGGTTGCCGTATAAATCATCTCGGTGGTTTGAGACTTACGATATGTCTACCACCAAAATGTATAACAAATTTCTATTCCGGCCACACCGCGCTTCAGTTATGATGTCTCTCGATTTCTCATTTTTCTCCGAATATATAATACAATTGAAAACACATATCCGTCTGTTAATAGAAATGTTCCTGGTACTGTTGGTCTCGCACAAAGAAATACATATATGTATATTTTTTCTCATTTATCCGATATGATTAAAAACAAATTTATTTATTTATTTAATTTATCTTGTTTACTTCGGTTAAATGTACAATATTTTTTAGTTTTTATGTACAGAAAACGGTTTAAGAGCTTTAGATCGTAAAATTTGATAGTTTACTTATTATTATTAGTGACACACACCCACGCGCGTTCACACGGACTGAAATAGAATTATTATTGCACGCCTCATCTCTTGAGAATATGGTAAACAGTTATGGTAATCGATCTAATGTATGCAGGCAATTACCAGGGTAAACTGCTCTTTGCAGCTAACAGATTAGTGAAGTAATTTATAACAGCTTTTACGTTCTTTGACACTTTGTGATTTTAAACAGCAGTAAAATGGCAGTAGGGGACACTTGCGGTTGTTAATGCGTGTAGCAGCAATAATTTATCAACGTTTCCCTCGACTTTTTGGTTTGAAATTCTCTTTAGGGCAAATCAATACCAAATCGGAAGAAAATATTGAGGTCGTACGAGTTTCCGCAAAATCGTTACGCAAATCGCAGCGCTACAAACGTGGAAAGAGGCGCACACCAAAATAGTTTATTCAAAAGATGTTGTACATACGAGTCTCTCACGAGCAAAGAAATATGCGAAAAGGAATATATTTTTTATTTTTCAAAATTCAGTTTGTTTTATTTTTCAACTTTTATACGTTTTTTAACGTTCTTCATATTCAGTAGATATTTAATACCGGTTTACCCGTCAATCTGCAAATGGCATGCAACGCAACACGCTCAAGTCTTACACACATACAGCGTTTTGTATTGCAATATATTACGTGACGGATTTTGCAAGACTTTTTCTACTCGCTCTCTACTAACTTTTTTCTAACTTGTTAACTAGCCGAAACACTTTAATGAAGACGGAGACTTTTCTGTTTGATCGAAAATTTCATAAATAATCGATTTTCTAAAGTGTAAACAAACAACTTTAACGATGTTCTCAAGTGTATTAATGCGCGCGCTTCGATAACTTATCTTTCCGACAACTTGGCAACTCTTAAGCAGCAATTTGAGCTTATCGAGCATCAAGTCAAGACTGCCAAGCTGTCTCATTAAACGCTAAACGATCGGCTTCTTGAGGGAAGTTGCTAGATATTGATACACAATGCATTGATGTGCACGATACCTATTACGTATATTACACAATGTACACAGCGCATGTGTGTATCAATATCTCCTCAAAAATCCGATCATTCTTCATCGTTAACATTGATAATTTGCGACGGAAATTCTAGAAACATTCTTTCCGCTCGTCCGCAATAATAACGAAGATCGAAATACGAAGTTGTTCGCGGGAGGGAAGAAATGCTACGTGGAAGAAACCTGCGTTTAATCAGACGCGAGGGAAGTACGGCGCGCGCATGTGCGTCCCTTCTTACACTCCTATAAACCACCAGTAGCTAGTAGCACGCGTCGACGTCGACGTCGTCATTGTCGTCGTTGTCGCCGGCGCCGCGACGCCTAAGCAAACGCGTGTTGTCGCTTTTCTCTTTTTCTCGAGAACAGTGCGTTTACCTGTCGCGACTCATTTTTCTTCGTCGCTTTGTTGTCTCTTAGTTTGTCAAAAATTTGCGCTTTTCGAAATTCCTATCCGCGACTTCACTATGCCATCGGTATTTAACGTATACTGCACTCTTGATCCGCGCACGTGACACGGCACGGACGTTTTTCACATATCCGCGTTATTTATTTCCGCCGTTTCCTCGCGATCGCCGGAACCGCGCAACGGAAGAAACGTAGGCGACCGAACGCAACATCGGAAGTTGTTAAATGCCGCACGACAGACTCTCATCGGAAACAACAGGATGCCGAGGTAAAAGCGTGAACGCACGAGCGTGTGTGTGCGGTCTGCGTGAAAATGTCTCGTGTGTGCCGCGCGCGTGTCTGACATTTGAAATTCAAATTTTTTGACATCGAAACACCATCGCTGCGCGATAGATTCTCGCGCCACTGAATTTCAAACGCATTTCAAGCAAAGCAAAGTTTTCTTTGTTAGCTAAAATGGCATTCCGCTCTTTCACCGATATTATCTCCGATTACTTGCTGCTTTCACAGAAGAAAAACGCGAAAAAATACAAAAACTGAGAGGAATGCGTACGTCTTATTTATGTAAGAATTCTATATGTGTGTGTGTGTATTTAAGGGTAAAAGCAAACGTATCGAGAAAAGTGTTATATGTAATCTTGAAAAATATGAAACGTGAACTACAAAAATCCATTAAGTTTTTTGCTGAGATTTAAAATAACAAGAGTAATATCTCTATTTTACTATGATATGTATTTTATGCGTATTCGGTGCTTTAAACAGAGCGCAAAAATGTATAATGTACAAACGCGAAAGGAGACGAGATTAAAATAAAAAGCAAAGAAAAATTAATCTTTTGCCAACTCTCTATATTGTTTCACATTTTTGCTTAGTTTATTTAATCCACGTAAAAGTACTTTTATTCTTCTCGAGATATTATGTTATTTAAACAATAACAATAAATACATTTACTTACAATATTATTTTACATTTAAACAGAGATTTTGTGTAAGCATATTCTCTTCTCTCTCTCTCTTTCTCACACATATATTTTTTCTTTTAAAAAGCAATAAATATTTAATAAGTGTTACCTAAGGTAAAAAAAAGCATATTTACCGACTACAATAAAGCACTATAATAAAACACATAATAGATATTAATACCGTGCGAAATATCTGAACGTATTAGATCGATGACTTCTGGAACAGATAAAAACATGCCTGCGTGTTTTTTGACCGATATCTTTCTCGATAAAACGACCGAGAAAAGTATTGCATAAGTAGTATGGATTTCGACCTTTTCCTTCTCTCTAACCAATGCTCTTCCGAGAAAAACCGATTGCTAAAGGTTCATATTTTTCAGAGTAAAAACTACTCGACATTTTTCTGAATAAGTAAAAATTTTCTGAACATATAAGGGTTGAACTTTTCGGCGTCACGCGGCGATCGCGCGTTCCGAAACTTGCCGGAGAAGATGAGATTTCGCGGAGATCTTAATTCAAGTTTATTATTTATTAAAAATAAAGTATATTTTTCATAATAAAATAGTATCTCCCTCACGCGTGTGTATTCAACGATATTCAATAATTAATCATAAAATAATTTGACAAAAACATTATTTGTTTGGATGTTTTAAATTTAACCGCCTCTGTTACAACTTTTGTTACCAAAGAATCACGTTCATATACGTTTTTCTTACGTTCATATACTTTTTTTTCTCTCTTGATTTTTTGTCACGTAGGTAACGCACTTTATAAAACATGCATAGTGTGTTAGTATCTATGTTCTTTTTCTGCCTTTTTCATTGTCTACGTCATTATTACATTGCCAGTGTAACTGGATATGCACGTACCTTTCTGCGCTATTGTTTCCGTATCTTCATTTTCTTTCCATCTATCAAAAGAGACAAGTCTCATTGTTTTTCAGAGATATGCAACTACCTTTACATCTATTATAGTAACTTAACGTATCTTCTTGCAAATTTTGCGTCATTCAGTTTGTCTTTTTTCTTTTGATAAATTATTATCTTACGAGAGAACACATATTTAAAATTAATGTGAACATTAGTGTGAAAAACATTTACTACGCAATTCTTTTATACTTTTTATCAGAAAACATTCATTTATTTGCTCGGTTAAACTTAATGACTACTTATTTGACCGATAGCTCGAAATATTACAACTGCAATTGAAAATAAGTGGTGAAGTTATAATATTAAAGTATCTCTCTCTTCACCTCTAATTAAAAAAAATATATATATTTTATTATTCTAAATATATGTCACAAAAGAAAGAGAGAGAGAGAGAGAAATGTAACAATAAATAGAAAATTGGAATTCGGACGCGGATATGCATTCTTAAAGCGAGCAAGAGCTTTGGTTTTATTTAACGTATTTACACGCGTCTTAACGCGACAGTTGAACGATCTTCTCTTTTCTCATAGAACTTTTTACTGTCGTTTGTGCGAGAACAAGCAAACAGCAGTAGCACGTCCGCAAAGGAAAGTGTGCAGGTGGAATTTGGAAGTGCAATATTAAAGCCGGGTGCAGCGCCCCACTTCTTTTTGCGACCATTTATGACACTGCACTCAAAGCGTGAAAGCCATTATAACATTTTATGCAAAAACTTCTAAGAGGATGCGCCAGCTGTAACACTCTTACGTGCAGCAAGTAAAAAGCAAATTGCGATTATAACCTGCAGACGTATTTTGCAACTTTAACGAACTGAAAGTGCATTAAGTTGCATTATATACGTACTTCGAAATCTGTTATTATTTAGCGCGCCACGCCGATAGTGAAGAAATGCTTGTGTAGAAGTTGACAGAACTTATAGTTAATAAGTGAAGTTGTTGCAAAAGCGAAAGTGTCTGTAGATCGTGCAGCTAAGTTTGTGTTAAGTAAATAGAGTATAGAAATGCAATGTATGTGCATGTGTAGCTTGTAACACGCATGCAAATTGATTAGTAGCCTGCGAGTCTGGTATTACAAACCGGGATTGGATTGTTTGCACACACGTACGCGTGATTCGGTTTTTGTGGTTTTCATTTTGTATAAAACTAAACAACAATGCAAAAAAAAAATTTGTTTATTCAACGTGAGCGAATTGTCGAATATTTCTTTCATGCTATTCACGAGTTTCGTACAGACCAAAAATCACAAATTGCGAATATTACGTGCATCACAATCTTGTGCTAGCTGGTTCGGTTTTAATTAGAGTTTTAGAATTTTAGAAAGCAATAGAGCAACGGTTACGAGATATTTATATTATATATATTGTTGTATCGTGTTCTTTTTGTGGAATACACACAAGTGTGTAATGGAAGAATTAGTGTCCTGTGAAGGACAATATCCACATTTACTTATCTGTCTATGAATGTTAAAACATTTAAAAACTGTTATTAATTTTGAACGCAATTTTAAACACTAATTTTACGCAAAGGAAAATTTTAAGTAGAATATTAAGAAAATTAGGACAATAACTTTTATTATGTACTTTTATTATACGTAATGCAGAGAATTACGGACTTAAAGACAAATTGTTCGGAAAATACAGAGCACAAAAGAATGTTTAATATTTGAGAATTATTAAAACACATAAAAAAATAACATATAAATTTAGCGGATTACTTCCCGTCTGTTTCTCACGCTTTGATAGTTTTTTTTTTTATAACAGCATGTGCATTTTTAAATAAATAAATTGTAGAATTTTCTGCATGAAAAATGTCTTTCAACAATTAATGTTTTAATTTACTCAAGCGCGAACGGTTTTATTATATTTTTTAAAGTTAATTTCTAAAAATATTTATACGTAACAAAAAATACAGAAAAATTCAATATATATTTTAATATAAATTTCACTACATCGCGTTGACTCTAATGAAACAAAACTCTGTTCTAAAGTTTGACAACGTAATGACAATATTTAGCTTTTCCTTTTTTTTCAAGAAAATGCAAATGAAATCTTTTTCTTGACGCAAATGAAAGAACAACCTTGCTAAACGTTTTTCGTACGTACGACAAAATGATAAAAAAAAACTATCGCATGGTCGATGGGACGAGGAGACTCGCATATATTGCAGATCCTTTAATCTCTGCGGAACACCGCCAATCTTTTTTTTTTTACGCGTCACAGCGTAACGCGTGACGTGCGTTAAGATCGGAAAAAGGCCGAGGAAACAACAAGCTTGATAGTCGGTAGCCACATCGTAGTCACTTCGTCCGACATGCTTAAAATAAATATGCATCAAGTTGTCTCGCGCGTTCGTCGCGACTTGCGATCGATCGGCGCGTCGCGCGCGTCAGACTTTAACGGCGCAATTATCGTCATAAATCTTGCCTGACACTACGTATTAGGGAAGTTAAGATGTGAATTCATACGAATTCACGCGTCTATAATTAGCGCCGTCCCATTTCGATCGCGTGTTTCTCTCTTTCTTGGTCTTGTTGCTAAGCGATCGATGTGTCCTATCGTCTATCTGTGCCTTTTCCCCCAAACTTCGATAATTGTCACACGATTTTGCGCAAGCGTTTCTCGTTACGTGAGGACAATTTTTGCCACAGTTTTGGCACAGTAAACTGTTTACTGCTAAAATTAACATCTTTTGCCATAGTTACCGTATTATTGTTAACATTTTTTTATTTACAAAATAGAGGAACGCGCGAAGAATTGTTATCTCGTTGTATGCAGGCAGTGCTACGAAAAAAAAAAAAACACTCGAACGCAGAACATTTCGTGATCCGCATAGATACCAAAGTTAATGATCTCAAATATCCTGTGGAAATTACAATTCTCAAATGTTCTCGTTTATACGCAATCTTTCGGTTTTGCTCTAGTGCACCTTACACAGTGGCTTTTATCGTAATCCGATCTTTACGACTCTCTTTCGTTCGCGGCGTTTTCATTGAACTCGGAAATTCGATGTCTCTTCGCGCGCTTAGTTTCCCAAGGAGAAACTCGGGCTTGTTTTTTTATCTGCACACAAATTAAGAAAGTGCGCGGAAAGTTTTTAATATTGATGGAATATATCGCAAAGTCTATCTCGTGTGAGCGCGCGAAGAAAGCCACAAAGCTCGTTCGATCGATCGATGCGGCATCTTCTTCGAGCAGTTTAAATTTAACGCACCTATTAATCGGGGTAGGGGAAAAGAAAAGTTGAGATGACATGAAACACACAATTTCATTTTGCTGTTGCGGCATTACACATTTCGATTAATGCGGTCTGAAATAATCTATCTGTTCTATCTTCGGGCTCGTTAAAGATGTATGTAGCTGCTAACAGTAATAGTTCGCGC